AAGCATGTTTTAAAGACTTTAAACAGATCATTTTTGTTAGTTATATCCAGAAGAATTCTTGATTACATGATTATGTTTAAAAATATTAACCTTAATAAAAAAACAGCTGTTCAATAAATGTATCTATAAAACAAGAGAAATATAGTAAGATAGTACAATACTTCAGTAAAGGTACTTTACTTTCAAACACTGGAGTACTTATTATGGTTTTTGAAATATTTAAATATAGCCTGTGGGGAACGTTTTTATGTTCATACTAACAAATAAGACCATCTGTTGTGGTTTTAATTTGTATGGCTTTATGTGGAGGAAAAGCTTACACTGTCATAAAAAGTTAATCATAAACACCTCATAAGCTCGCAAACATTGCAAAGAAATAAAACGTTGATGCCGTGACGAGTGCTTGGGAAACATTTTTATGGTCTCTTTACCCGGGAAGAAGGCCATGTCTTTACTTTGTCAATTCACCTCGTAGACTTTGGATCAGAGGCTCACTCAACACATGCTCAGTGTGCACGGCTGGCAGAGAGATCTGTATATATCATTCTCTATGAAACGTTTCATAATTTGTAATTTCTCAATGTTGAATGCACGCATGTAGTTTATCATAAAAAAGTTTATAAAACGCAAATCTGAAACGGATAACTACCATTGTGGAGGAAAAGCTTACACTTTGTTCTTTCCACATGCCTCATTTTAGTTATGTGGGGGCCAGTCTCTGTGCTTAAGAGTGATGTTGATCAGGGGACAGATCCTGCTGGTATAATCATTACGAGGCTGAGTGAAATGTCTTGCAGAGCACGTACATGTGTCTAATGGGAAACGTCAAAAGGTGCTCTGTCTTTTCTCTCAGTGTTCCAGAGAGAACATTTCCATACTCATGGAACATGCCAAGGCGATCTAAACCAGAACAGGAAGATTATCATCAGGAAGATGATCTTCATTTGAACTACAGCGTGACATCAAACAGAAAAGAACAAAATCCCTCAAGATAAGCACGGAAAACAGATGTATGAGGGAATGTATTAATTAAAAGATTCCGTTACTAGTACTATGTGTTTACTTAAAATAACAGCGTTTTATGGAAAGTTCATATTTGTATTCACAACGCCATGACCCATGCAGTTATAAACACAATAATCAGCTCTGGTTATTAAGCAAGTGACAATAAACCAACATTAGGGAGCTGTTTATCTGTTTGATACATTAACATTTTTAAAGCTATCAAACTTGCTTTTAGTTTTTCTAAGTGCGTTGTGCAAAGACCATTAAGTCATCAGTCAAACCAACAACCTTCCCCTTCATAATGACAACAGCTAAGTTTCAACACTAGCAGTTTAGTCATCCATTAGTCATGTATCCCATCCAGATGTCTGGTGGAGGAAAGGCGGGGAGGAGGAGATAGTAGCAGGTGTAGATCTATCTGAGCCCAGCTGAGCTCTAAAAGGCAGTGCTTAGCACCCACAGCTCCGTCATCTGGCCTCTCCCCTGTCTCCGCCAGCCTTTCGACAGCCCATTCCTCATCATTTACCCCTTTTTGGCAAAGCCCAGAGCCCTTCTAATGGGCCGCTCTGAATGCTTCCAGATGTTTGTTTATTTGTTGTGCAGCAACTATAAAACAGTTTACTCTTAGTTTGGATCTCTTCCCGTTGTTAAATTTTTTGGGGGGCGTTGAGGGAGCGAGGGGGAGTTTAGCAGGAGTTGCAGTGCAGATCACCCCAACATGTAATGAAAGTAAACCGGCAAACAAATGCGAGACACCCCATGGGTGTCGTCAAGAAGGTGTTTTTTTTTTTTTCTTTGAAGGCTGCCTTTCTCCCGGGATTTTAATAACAGTTGTGCACCATTTAAGATACATACATACAAAGTAGCTGGAAGCGGGCCCCGAACAACAAGATTAAAAGGGCCCGGGGCTCATACTGTAAGGCGGGATTCAGGCATTTTTCCTCGTCTGTTTACTCTGCTTGTACAAATATATCCCCTTTCATTTACCGCTGTCACTGCTGAGGGATGGCCTACTCACATCTAATCTGATACCTGTAAAATAGCAGTTTCCAATCTGCGTATTTATTGAAATATACAGACGAAATGAAAAATATTTAATTAAAATCTTCTCTGTTTACATGGATCTATCAATCAAGTCAGAAGTATTTCTTTTATATTCTTGTGAACTACAGTTATAATTAGATCTATGAAATAAACTTGAGAATTGCACTTCAAAATGTGTCACCCTAAGAAAATGACAAGGTGGTAATAAATAACCCAGCACATTGTTTTGCAATATTGTAATGATAATTCCTCATGGTAAGGCACAGGAACACAACATGTCATTGGCTGTGGCTAATAGTACGGTGTAGGCCAGTGAAGACACACAGTACTTTAGGCTGGGACTCCATTTCGGACTGTTAGATTTAGAGTTGTGTTGACAGTTGGACCAGTACTGAGAGTTAGAATCAAGGTGACAGTAGTGGAGGATCCTCAGGCCCCTCTGCCAGACTATATACTCCACTCTGTGTCACGCCTTCACCAAGACACACTGGAGCCCCCACCATCCTCCTTCACTTTGTCATTTTGTCTAGCTCTCTCATTTTTAAGTCTCTACACTGTTTAACGCTGGTCCTCTTACTGTCATTTCCTCTCTTATTTAACTTTCCCTCTTGTTCTGTCTAATAATCTCTTGTCAGATCTGGTCTATGAAATCCTAATTTAGATTTCACTACCACATGTTTTCCTTCCTCCCTCACCTTTCACTCCGTCTGCTCTTCTGCTCGCTGCCTTGTTTTGCTTCGCCTACTCCAGGTGGACTCCTCCACCAACTAAGACAGGAGCTTATCCTGGAGTTCTGTCCTTGGTTTCCACCCCTCTCTCCCTGGGCATTGACCTGCCAGCGCTGCCCTCCTCTGGGAGCTTCTAGTCGCTGTAATTACCTCTGGCACCCAGGCTCTGGGGCTCGCACACATGGTGACACGCTGGAGGGGTGGGTGCAGAGGGTTGGAAGGAGGAAAGGGAGGTTCTCTCTGAGCAGCAGACAGGGCAATGTGAGAAGTGCTGCTGATCTGTCTGCTACTCTAGCAGTCATGATACAACTATATAACCTTCCTTGTACCAGAACAACTTTAAAATAACCACTTTCAATAACATATTTGTGTGTACTAACAAACTCTTAAGCTGCTTACCAAGCATGTAATGTAATTCTCCAAATCATGGTTTGATTCTATATATCTCATTACATTACATAATACAAAATATTTTCAAAACAGCAGAGTGCCTCTACTTGCTGAATTATATCTACCAAACAAAATCAATTCAACAGCATGAACAGGACTTACAATCCAAAAACACAATATCACTTTTTCAACAAAGTCATGTAGCGTATTGTTTCATTCTCTATTCATATTGAAATGAGTGTTGCATTTAACTACATCAAATTGTTCCGCACATTGTTTTAGCCCTATTGTTTCTACCCTGAATTTAACACGGTAAATGCTTTGAAATTACTTTCTTAAAAATGTTGTTTGTTGTCGCGCTGCTTTGCCACAGCTTTGTTCTATTTGAATGAGGAGTTACTGTGACCGTCTTCAACAAATAAAGAGAACTCAAGTATGTTTAAGAAGTGTAAATAAAAGGAAAAAACATAACAAAGAGCTGGGGTAGGGGCTGGAGGCAGGGACATGAAGAGGAGGTGAAGGGCGAAGATGAGGGCTGTGTTATCTAAGACTGCAGCACTGCATCATAAAAATAACAAATGGAGACTGTCACTGCTGCTCAGATCGGAGGGGAAAACATTTGATGTCAGATCCCCTCACCTTTAAATTGACTTTTCCCAACCAGGTCGGATTTTGACAAAGCACGGGCTCTTCCTGTCCTTACATCCGGTGCGAGCTGCCACCGTCCCCACTTTTATGACATAGATCTGTCCTTGGCACCATAAACGGGGGGTAGATATGTTCACTGCTGACATGTTGGCCTACCATACTGGTGGTCAACCCATCAAAGGTGTTGTGCTTAGTGACGACACTGATACATGTCTATAAAGAAAGACCTGAGAAAAGTGGGGCGTATTTGAAAAGTAGCTCCTGACTCTGGATGAACTGTTGCATCTGGTCACGAAACACCAATCTCAATTATTTAGTCTCGCCAACTGAACTCCTGGTTATGTGTACATTTGAGACCTTGAACAATTTACAATGGAGAATACCTGCTTAATACTTTTTGTTTCGTAAGAATGTTTAAAATGCCCTACCTTTAAGTCCTATTGAAACTTTTTACGTCACCTTTTGTTAAATGGTTACAATGTAGCTACAGTGTGGTGATATCTACGGTGTGAAATTATCTTTAATATACAAAAAAATGCATGTTTGTAGTCCAAGGACACAGAAACTGACTAAATGCTATACATGGTTTTGAAACTGATACAGTTCGAAGGATCCATGTTGAAGTAAACACATTTTTCATAGAAACTGATGTATTGGTATGATATAATAAAATGGACGGCTAGGGCCTGCACAATGGATGTAGGACATAGTGCCTTTTTATCTAATGTGATGCAGTCTTCCTATAGTGCAGTGTTTGATGTTAAGGAGTTGCTACACAGTTTCATCAACCGAATACACCGGGTCAATATGGGGCCTAATCAATGTCTAGTATCAACAGATCAAGGACGCTTCATCTTGTATATGTGCTGTGTGCTCCCACGCATACATTCAGATCAGAGTTAACCTGGATTACTCAGATGTATTCCCTCTATCAACGAATCACACAGATGAAATTAGATCAATAAGAATAGATACCATATATTCAGCTCAGTCTCAAGGTCAACAGATTCCCACTCACTGTAGCCGTTGGGGTTAGGACTTTTATTTACGTCATCTGTGGGCTGAAATATAATAATATATCGTGTTGCTTCTTCTTCACTTTGAAGAATATCTGTACAAATGTATGTACAAACCGCCTAAGTGAAAAGGTTATGAAGTCCAAAGGCTTTTCTTTTTTTCCCTTACCTCTGTGGTTCTTGGCATCTCTGGATCCTTGGGGTAGAGGAGTGTAGGACAGAGGGTGACTCTCAGATCCAGCTTCATTTGGTGGCTATAGGGGAAAGGAGATATACAAACAGGTTTAATAAAAAAATAATAAAAAAAGGTTTGACAAGTTTTAAAATATCAAATAACACTGTAGCTGACTGAGTGTCATAAATCCTTTGGGGTTCGTGCAGCACACGTTGGAAACACTGCTCCTTTTTTATGACATAATGTGGCAGGTCATGTTTTATTACTTCTCACGTGTTGTGGAGCTTCACTCCTGTCTTTGATGATCTGATCTACGACCTGGTTTGGGAGGAGAGGTCCTAACCTTCATTCAGCCATGACCTCCTTCAGTGGTCAACTAAAGGGTAAACGTCACTCACTCTGAGCAGCCAAATGTAGCGTGGTCATGCGAGAGCAGTCCCCTCGACAGAGAGGAAATGCAATTTTCACTTTGAATAAAGCTCATCTTAACCTTATTTAATGTCAAATACTTGAGATGTGAGGTAAATATGTGCATAGATTCCTGGCTGCAAAACTGGAAAGAGCTATTCATTGTGAGCAAAGTCAGAGGTTAAGGATAAACAAGTGTGACAAATGCTGCTTTGAGACAAAGAGAAAACAGAGGCTGAATCTCAGAGCGTGTTCCCAAACAGGTCAAGAGTTTCTTCTGTTGTTGTTTTTTCGTGGACTTTTCAAGGTCCAAAAACATCCTCTTCCTTTCCTTAGCCTTTTAGCTAGTGGAGCAGGCAGTTCATCATGACACAGCGATATCCGATGCCTTTGTAGAAAATACTTTCCTTTCCTGCAGGAAGGAATTCACTGGGTCTTTAATCATAACAAGAGACTCAACTGACAAATACATATTAGAGAAGGGTTGGAGCTGCATTTTTCCCACTTTTGTTGTTGTTCCTCTACATGCCCATGCATAACCTTGAGAAATGGAATTGTCTTCACTGTTAAATGGAACCATATTCTTCATGGGCAAAGACAGAAATGTGAATTGAAAATGATTACATAATGTGCTTTCAGATCGCATCTCTGAAAGGCATTAAGGTCTGGCCAGCATGTGTGTCACATTACACCAAAGAGAAACATGGCTAAATAAGCTTATTATGAGACCTTATCACATAGTGGTGGACTATGCTTTTAAAAGAAGCAGCTTGAAATATAAATATTATTGTGACAGCAGACCTGCATGCCTCTGGAGTGGTTGAAACCTGTTTAGAAACATCCCAGATCACTCCTTGCTTGTATGCTGTACTTGCATGTAATATGAAATATAAGCTGTAAAACAACCCAAAACAAGAACATGCTGTCCTGAAAAGAAAATGCTAAAATCCTCATTTGTGAATAAAACAATTAGGTATTCATGTTATTCCTACAAAATAAATAAATAATTTTGGAATGGGAACCACACTTACACACATTGTATCTTAAAAAGGCTCTTGATGCCCTAATTTAGCCTTTTACCATTTGAGGGTTAAATTGCTAATGGTTCTCATGATGAATACAGAAGAGTCCGTCTATGACAATCATTATGGCCTAACAGAGCAACTCAGGCATTAATACATGAATTGTGAGCCTATTTTATTTGATGTATGCTCTTGTGAGCCACCGTGAAGCTGCGCCCCTGCTTGCCTCATTTCCTGGACCGCTTGAAAGATCACAAGCCTGGGCCTCTTCTGGCCTGCTTGGCCCCCAAAAGCCCCTCCTAATCCTGCTGCTTGCTTACAATTAATCATCCTAGTTGCCACATTATTAACGGCACCACCCACAGACTATGTTAGGGGGGTGTTGGAGAGAAGAAGGAGAGGGAGGACTGCTTGCGTTAGCTGGATACTGGATAAAGCCTTGGGCTGGTTTTGGTCCTATGGGACGTCAGTCACCTTGCTTTCAGTATCACCGCCCACCCAGTCCCCGTGCTATGCATGACACCACCACTTCACCTCCTCAGTATCATGCCTGCTGATCAAACACCCAACCCATTCAACAATCTGTGGTTGTCACTTCCCGTCCTATCCAGCACAACCATTTTAACCCACCCACAGAACATCAATCAGCCAGCTTTCCTGTGTCCCGATCCTCCCTTTTCTCCTCGCAGACCTTCCTCTCTATCCCTCCACAACTCTTTCACTTTAGTCAATGACTTGTCCAGAGGATGTCAAAGGCGCAATGCTTTTAATGAGGAAGCATGTGGAATAAATGAAGGAAAGATTTCTCTCTTGTACTTGCTTCAAAAGGGGCTGATGGAGTGAACAGTGATTATTTTAATATACTATATATACAAATGGGTTACACCACTAGTCGTTGCTTACTTACATTTACACTGAACTGTTAAGATAAACAAAGAGTGCTACACGGCAAATTATAACAAATCCAAAGATTCACATTATTTTAGTTTTGACTATTAAATGACATAAATATGACTTTGTTTGATTACACCAGTAGGACAAAATATAAAAAATAAAAGACATTGATGGTCTCTTCATCTATGTTTCTAATGCCCTTATTCCCCCTTTCCTTTATCCTTCATTCCTGTCCCTTTCTCCACGTTGTTTTCTTCAGTTGTACCTACACTGAACAGAGGGAGGTGCTGCTGTGTCGTGTATTTAAGACGCTCCTGAACCCCCTTTTCTTCTCTCCCTCTTTCTCAGTCTCTCTGCTGTCCAGATTAGTCTGCTCATCAAGCTGAGCATTGTTTTAATTTGCTGGGCCCGGGGCATATGCTGAGTGTTCACATCATTATTGTCTCTGTGCAATGTGAGTTATCACCACAGCTTATGATAATGCGGCACACATTTACAGGCTGGGGAGAACCATGGATTCTGCGATAATAAAGGGTGGACAGAGGGGAGTGAAAATAGGGAAAAATAAATGAAGAAAGTGCATGTGTGTGAGAGAGAAAAGGGCGGTGGCAGTGTGGGGAAGCTCTGTTGGATGTCATTATGAAAGATGATTCCCGTACTGGATCATATATCACACCAATGCTGTATGTCTTCTCCTTGTCGGTGTTGTTATGTGGATAAATGCTGATAAAGTTGAAACCCAGAGGCAAAAGTGATTATTACTTCCAACATATCATCGTGAGAGGGGAGCAGGAAGAGAGAGAGAGAGACAGGGGAGGGATGGAAAGACAAGAAAAGCAAAACACAAAGAAAGCCACATGGAACACATAACCGTCTCCACAGCAGGGTTTCCTGAACAATACGAGATACCAAAAAGTGAGTTGGGGAAGGCTGACGCATATCGGGGTGTTTTTCACATTCAACTGCAACAAAGTTTACAAAGTTTTGCAAGCTTGGCTGTCGATTTCAAATCTTGATGGATGTTATATTACAGAAAATAACGCTGACAACTGATCTGGGAAGATTTCCCTAGAATGTGATTATGATGCTGGCTGCCACAGCGCTATGTACAGAGTCAGTATTTTGCTCCGTGTTACACACATTTCTTTTCAGAGCACTGATCTGAGGTTTCACCCTGACCAGCTCATCCTGACACAGGTGGTTCCTGCCTGGCCTCACCTCACCTCCCTCCTTAAGACTGACCAGCAATACAATCTAATTACAGCCGCGCTACAGAGGGAGACCAGTGTAAACACCAGGCCTTTTTATCTCCTTATACATCTGGACAAGTAGACAAAGTGCTAAAAGGAAATAAATGTGGCCTGACAGCCACATCAAAGAGTTCAGCCAGAGGCTTACTGCTACTTAGGGCACAGGAATGTTGTTGCTAAGCATCAGCTTGCAACCTATCAGGGTGCAAAGAGGGCCCTGTCCCGCCTTAGAGAGGGAAAAGGGGAAAAGAGAGAAACGAAAGAGAAGAGAGAGGGAGGAAGGGCGAGGGGAGGGGGGCTGACATTGAGGGGAGGCTAGGGACTCAAGGAGATTTTTGTAGCTTAAAGCAATTGTTGGAAGAAACAAGCCTTCTGTTTTGTTTTCTCTTGACACCGTTTCTGCTTTTTGTGCTTGCAAAAGACATGTATAACAATTTCTTTTGATATGTTTTCTCTTTGGGTCTATATCAAAATATTTCTTTTGTGTCTGTGCATGGAACTTTTTTCTCGTCTTGTCTCTGTAAACTGGTGCTGCTTTCTGATCATGTTAGAGATCAGAGGAGACACAACTTGAGAACTTATTTGAGTCAACATTCAATGCTGGCATGACACGTTTATTTCTTCACTAGATAGAATTTTTTATGATCCATGTGTCATACTTCTTAAGTTCGGGGTTAGGAACAATCCAACACTTTCAGAAATAAACAATAAAGGAACAAATAAGTAGCACCAGCTTGCAGCGTCTTACAGCATGTTATGATGAAATGAGAAATGCTATAATTCACTACAAGGGATTGAATCGAGCCGTAATATACATGCACACACAGGACTCCTGTGCATAATTCAGCGTTCTGAACCGAAGCCTAATATTATTGTGTACTAATACACACAATATTATATTTAAATGTTATTACTGTATATAGCTGGAAAAACACATATATGTGGTGGGGGAAAATCATTTAAATGCATATTTTGCCAGCAACAGCCTCAACCGGCATGAAAGGTAGAGCAGTAGTTTATTAATTCAAATGTTTTTTATATCTGACCTTAATGATCGTGGCTTAGGAGGGAAGAGAATAACGTGTTTTAAATTGCTGTTGTGCGCATGAAACACATTAATTCTGTTTTCTTAGGTAATAGCACGGGGAAGAACATTTGAAGTAATGGTGTCTGCACTTGTAGTGTAGCAGTCTTTTGCTCAGCAGGAAGACTGCTGAGCGTGTGTTTAATGATTTACCAGTTCTACTCCAATGAACTTGCTCCTAGTAAATGTATCATATGATCACTGATCACAAGAGCAACCGCTCCGATGTTTCGCTCGGGGCACACAGAGTGAACCAGCAACAGTGAACATTGTCGTTTTGTGTACAGCTAAGCATCAAATGGGCAAAGGTTGAGTGCTGCTGGACGTTAATCATGCATAGTACTCATGGTAATAAGATGGTGGATGGTAATAAGCTTGTATTTGTTTTTAGGTTGAAACTTAAAAAGCCATTCGACCTTTA